AGTGTCCGTTTGTGGGACGGAAGTGCTCAGATCGACACTGAGACGTTGAATCGAAATGATAGGCTCCATCACGAGGACGTAAGATACTGAAAAACGTTGATCTGGAGGTCAAATAAGTGGGATAGAACGGTTTCACAGCTATGTGGGTTTATAGTACTCAAAGCGGCCGAGGCTATAAATGGTATGTTGTGTTCCTACTGAAAGCAGAGAAAGTAGAAGCAGGATGACAAACTGGGTGGTAACAGCAGTCTGCTCGGTTGGCCATCAGCAGGCTGGAGGGAAGAAGGCTGTCCCTACTGCTGGGAAGAGCTAGCACTGGACACCACAGGCAGTCAGGGTCCTCAGGACAGCCCGGATCACATTTGAGGCTTACGGCAGCCTCTGAGGCAGGTGACTGTCTCCTGTTGCAGTCAGGATTAGGAAATGTTAGGAGACATTTAAAATCATCCACAGGTAACCAACTGTTAAGTCAGGACTCAAAGCCAGGTCTGGATGATGCTGAGGGCAGCCAGGCCCTGTTCTATTTCCCTCCCTAGGAAGCCCCGCACACAGAGAGGGGCGGTGCCGTCTGGTTCTTGTAATCAGGGACGTGGTGGGTCCCAGGGTCACTGCCCTAAATGGGCTGCAGGAAATTGAACAGGTTATACTCAGCAAGCAGATCCCTAGGGATACGGTGGGCGGGTGTCCTCCACAGCTGTGCGCCTATCTGTTGGAGAGCGCCTGCGCGTGGGCAATGAACTGAGAAAGGGAGGCTGTGTTCAGAGTCCCATAGGCCCAAGCCCCTTAAAATGGCCTCTGTTCTCGGGTTTCTTTATAAACCGCACATCAAGATCTTCAAAGAGATTTTAGAGACAGATGATCAGGTGTCTCCCTAGATTTAGGAACCAGTTTCTTGGGATGCAATTTGGGAGTCTGTGTATAAGACAGTGCCCCTGGCAATTGTGTGGAGAACCAAGTTTGGGAACTGTTGGATGCATCCCGCGAGCGGAGGGAGTTTTCCTCATTGAAAGGGTCAGATGGGGGAGCCTAAGGAAGCCCCGTGGGCAGAAAACCGGCTAGTTTTCTTCTTCAACCTCCCCCTTCTCTTACCTCTCTGTCATCCCTTTATGTATGGTTACTACAGTCATGAAGTTTTTCCGCCCCTTGAGAGCAGGACGGTGACATTTGGAACAGCAGCGCCTCACAGTGGAAAGGAGCAAACACTACAGCGCTACGCGCACCGCCGGAGGGCTCTTTAATAGAGCCAGGGACTGCAGGTGTCCATGTGTCCTGCAGGGGGCAGCACGCCCCTACGTATTTAGGCAGTCGTGGGGATTTCAAGGGAAATGCCTGGAGAGGACGTGAGGTTGAAGATCTGTGCTAGGTCTGAAACGGCAATCCTTCACGTTGTGAAACTAGAATAAACTTGGAAGAGACCAAGTGCAGCGGCACGAACAAACCTATGGTGTATGACCGTCCTGGTTGGTGTTAGACTGTGGTACCACCACCAACATTTTGGTTGGCTTCCTAAATATAAGTCTGACAAGCACCCACTGTCAGACATTTCCTTGGAGAGAATTCCTTTTTGTGTGCACATGAATCAGACATTAATGAACACAGTAGGCTTCATTTCTAGTGATATTTTAAGATGACACATAGATTTCTGTTGGTGGGACAGGGTCGGGTGACTTATAGTACTGGTTTTGTTGTTGTGGTGGGGTGGGTCTGTTTAAGGTTTATTTATTGATTTGTATATGTGTGAGGATACACGAGTTTATGAATAACGCGTGCATGCATGTGCCCTCAGAGGCCAGAGGGTTCTTATCCCTAAATGGGAATTAGAATTGTGAGCTGCCTCATCTGGGAGTGGAAGCTGAACTCTTCCTCTGCAGGAGCAGGACACACTCTTAACTACTGGGCCATCTCTCCAGCCCAGGGAAAGTTGTTCTAATTATGTTCGTTGCTGTTTGTTTGGTTTGTTTTTAGTCTCTCTCTGTCTGTCTCTTTCTCTGAGCTCCACAGCCTCTTCTGGGATTAAAGGCATCTGGCTTAATTAAGCATGTTTTGGGAGTTTTGTTGTTTGTTTGTTTGTTTTTCAAGACAGGGTTTTCCTGTGTGTGGTCTTGGATATCCTGGAACTTGCTCTGTATGTAGCCTAAGCTAGCCTTGAACTCAGAGATTCACCTGCCTCTGCCCCCCGAGTACTGGGACATTAAGCTTGTTTTTATCGGTTCCCACCTGGCAAAGTTCTCTCCCTCCCTCTCCCTTCCCCTCCCATTATACGTTTCTGATGTCTGTACCTGGACACACTCCTTCCAACGGCATGCTAAATTAATACACCTGGGGTGATAGTTAATAAAGTGTACATAAACCTGCCAACTGCCTGATTGTCTTCTTTTTGAAAATTAACTACTTACATTTTATGCTGCATTGTATTTGTACATCTTTATAGAACACAAGTGGTATTCTATAGTAATTTAATAATACAATGTATAATAATCAAATCAGGATAATAAATACTTATTTCTCTTCAAACATGAGTTTAAATTTGACTTTAAATTTTTATTGCATTAATTTATTTTTGTGTATGTGGGTGGGCATGCACGAGCCACAGCACACATGTGAAGGTCAGACAACTATTTGTAGGAGTTGGTTCTCACCTTCTATTTTGTGTGATCTGAGGATCAAATTCAGGTCATTAGACACAGTAAGTGTTTTTACCCACTGAACCATCTGGTCAACCCATGCATGATCATTTCTATATGTTGGAAATTTAATCCCTTTTCAGTCAATTTTAAATAGATGGAACTTTTTTTTAGCCTACCCTCACCTGTGGTAAAGAAGAACCAGAGTGATAAGACTCTACCTGTATTTGAAAGCTTTAATTGAACTCCTCGTGTCCCTCTTTCCCATTCTCCCCTTCTATTCCCAGCTGCCAGTAATCACCATTCAATTTCATCCTATAAAAAATTAACTTAATAGTTTCCACAAATAAATGTGAGTGCAATGTATTTGTAATTTTGTATGTCTTATTTCATTTGACATAATTACCTCCAGTTCCATCCACATTGCTGCAAATCACAGGACTTCATTCTTTCTTGTGGCTGAATAATACTCCATTGTACACATAATTGTATATTCCATTGTATACTCCATTGTATACCCTGTTGTACACACCATTGTATACTCCATTGAATACTCTATTGTACACACCATTGTATACTTTATTGTATGCCCTGTTGTACACACCATTGTATACTTTATTGTATGCCCTGTTGTACACACCATTGTATACTCTATTGTGTACTCTATTGTACACACCATTGTATACTCTATTGTACACACCATTGGATACTCTATTGTACACACCATTGTATACTCTATTGTATATGCTATTGTACACACCATTGGATACTCTATTGTGTAGTCTATTGTACACACCATTGGATACTCTATTGTACACACCATTGGATACTCTATTGTACACACCATTGGATACTCTATTGTGTACTCTATTGCACACACCATTGTATACACCATTGTACACACCACATTTCAAACTTCTTTTATCCACTGAAAGGCATGTAGGTTGATGCCACATTTTTACTATTATAAATTGCTCGGCAATAACCATAGTAGTGGAAGTGTCTTTTGGGGGAAACAATCTTTGAATTTACACCAGAAGTGGACTCACTGCTTCTGATCCTCCTGCCTCTACCTTCCTAGTGCTGTGATTGAAGACCATTTTTAATTTGCGTGTGTGTGTGTATCTGTGTATGTGTGTGAGTGTACACATGTGTGCTGTTACGTGTATCCATGCATGTGCATGTGGAAACCAGTGAAGGATGTTGGGTGTCTTCCTTAGTCACTTTCTGGCTTAGCCTCTCATTGAATCTGTACTTGCTATCTGGAGTATGCTGGTTGGCCAGTGAGCTGGTTGGAGCTACAGTCATGTGTGCTGATGCCCATGGACTTGGGTGAGGCCCCAGGATCTTCCTGTCTCTACACTCCAGTGCTAAGATACAGTCATTCATGGTCATGCTCAACTTCTTGTGTAAGTGCTTGGGATTTAAACTCAGGTCAGGCTCTCATGCTTGTAGACGGAACTTTCTGTCCCACCCAGTGCTGCAATTGTTCAATCCCAAAGAAACACACAGAGGCTTATATTAATTATAAACTGTTTGGCCTATTAGCTCAGGCCTATTATTAATTAGCTCTTACAACTTAAATTAATCCATAGTTCTTGTCTATGTTTAGCCATATGGTTTGGTACCTTTTCTCAGTGAGGCAGTCTCATCTTGCTTCCTCTGTGTCTGACTGGTGACTGCATCTCTGCCTTTCCTCTTCCCTAAATTCTCCTAATCTGGTCACCCCACCTATACTTCCTGCCTGGCTACTGGCCAATCAGCGTTTTATTAACAAATATGGGTGGCAAACCTTTACAGTATACAAGAGCGTTATCCCATAGCATTTGCCCTTTTTTTTCCTTTCAAAACAAGAACTCTGAATCTAATCTACTTTGTTTAGCTTTTTTTCCTGACCATTGTCCATAACAACTCTAAACAAAGACAAATGGCCAAAGCTTGGGAAACAGAGGGCTCCGTCTGCAGTCTCCCAGCAGTGGATGACCTTGACTCATTGGTCAGGCACTACCAAAGGACATCAATAGAGCAGAACCTCAGACGAAGCAGAACACAGGCCTGCAGACCCATCAGCTACCACTGCTTTCTGGATTCACCCTCGAAAGCCACCCTAAAAGGAAAGACAGACGCTGGGCTGCCATAATTGAATCTTTCTGAGGATTCTCAGCAGATGGCTTCACACCTTAGAGATTGCTTTGAGTCCCAGTCACCAGAAAATGGCAGCGTATTAGACAACATGGGGTTTATTCCAACCCAGGTCTCTTCTGTGAGGTCTGGAGCAGACACCTCTCACACCCCAAGTGCTCAGCTCAAAATTTCCCCAAATGACAGTGACTCCTGTGCAAAGCATTTGCTGCAGACACCCTGGGAGATGTTTACCTCGTGGTTGCAGCCGGAAAAGCAGGGCAAGGAGCAGATGATTTCTCAACTGGACTTGGAGCAGTTTCTCAAAATTGGGCGCTACAATGATTTCCCCTTTTTCTGTTTAAGCAAAAAAAGAAGGCTTTAACTTTAACATAGCAAAATTACATATGACAAAACAGTTATCAAGTAAGAATTACAGTTACAATATTTATATCCATTTTATCTTTTACCATAACAAAGGAAAACTATAACTAACCATTCTTCAACTCCATCAAAGACTCCAGAAGGATATAATATTACCCAAGTAAACAAGAAATAAGCAACTTCCAAACTCTAGAAATGACAGAGACATCTCACTGCCTGTACAGTCACCCAAAGTTCCTCTGTACTGTCAGGGTATCCATCTTCGGCCTACAGACCCATAGTTTCCAGCAGACATTTCCATGAAGCAGGAAATTTTAAAGGCAGTTCAGTCACTATCTGCTGTGTCCTGAAGAATGTCTCGCAGACTCTTTCATGAATCAGGAACCCCGAAAGATCATCTCACCTTTAGGCAAGTTCAGTAGTCCTCTCTCTGCGGGTTCTCTGTGTCCAGTTTATGCAATAGTCCAGGCAAGAGCAGTTTCTTGCCCAAATGGCTATCAAACTCCATAAGGTGCCTCTTCGATGCCCATCTTCTTGAAGTAGATTGGTGCTGCCAGGAGCAGACATGTCTCATTATCATGAAAAACCCTAAGTTATTAAAACATTTAAAATGCCATATTCTATAATCTTTGAAAGATATGAAGAATGCCTCCTAAAATATATCTATGTACATCTAGAAAATCTTAACTAACATGACTACAAGCTTGACTATTATTGATTATCCATTAACAACCTATATGTATATTACATTTTTAAATGAACTACACAATCACAATACCTTAATCAAGATCAGAAATACATCACTAACTGGCCTTAAACTTACTATATAGCTGAGAATGACCTTCAGCTTCTGATCCTCCTGTCTCTACTTTCCTAGTGTTGGGGTTGCAGACCTATTTTTAATTGTGTGTGTGTGTGTGTGTGCACACGTGTGCATGCATGTGTACACTTATTTGCTGGTGCTTGCACAGCAAATGCAAGCAAATGCAATGGGGACACTTAGCCATGTCCCCAGCACCTTTTTCCTATTTTTCACTTTTGAGGAACCTCCAGAATGCTTTCATAACACCTCACTAATTTTCATTCTGTGTAGCAATGATCTATTTTGGGTGAGGTTGAATCCCAGTCCTTGCGTATGCTAAGAAAACTCTGTTCCACTGACCTAGAACTCTCGATCTTTATTTTTAGTAGATGTACCTGGGCCTGCACATGGGAAGGAGCCCTAAGAAGAGTGCCATTATTTTTGAATTGGTGTAACACTTTCTGGCAGATGGTCAGTTGGTTTGCTTCTCTGCTTTGCCTTCTAGTAATTGACGGGGGAGGAGCCAAACCATTGTGGGTGGTGCCATCCCTCAGCAGGCTGTCCTAGGTTCTATAAGAAGGCAGTCTAAGCAAATCTTGGGGAGCAAGCCAGTAAACAGCACCCCTCCATGGCCTCTGCTTCAGCTCCTGCCTCCAGGTTCCTGCCCTGTTTGAATTCCTGTCCTGATTTCTTTCAGTAATGAACTATGATGTAGAAATAAAAGCCAAATAAACCCTTTCCTCCCCAGATTGTTTTGGTCATTGGTGTTTACCACATCAATAGTAACCCTAACTAGTACACCTAACTAGTATACCTAACTAGTACACCCAATATGCTACTTCTAGAGTGTTTTTAAAGCAAAATTCAAACCTTATGTGTCATTTTGTGTCCTAAACAGAACAGCTCCCAGGCTCTGAGGTGACTGTTTCTCTCTGGAAGCATTTTGTCCTGCCAGAGAATGAAAGAAACCATTGATTTCCGCTGTGTAAATGTGAGCTGGTGGGGTCTGGACCAGTGATTCGGTCACGGCTATAAAGAAGAATAAGTAAGTCTGGGAGGAGTGAAATCCTGGAGAGAGCACGCTGGTTAATTGGGTTTCTGATTAACTATGGGTTAATGAGGAGACACTTTCTGTCTGAAATCTCTCTAAACTGCCCCAGTCCATTTCCTTGCTTTAATAAGTATCCTAATGAACATAATTAAATCTCCTCTCACCGATTCAGCATCCTGCAGTGTCTCGGGATCATTGCTCTGAACACAACATGGAATTCTGTCCTGCACTGTCGCTGCGGAAGGTACCCGCGTTATGGATGGAGATAGAGCTCAGCTGCAGAACACTTGCCTGGCTGGCACAGCATGGCATACGTAAACAAATATTAAATTATTAAATCTATGGAATTTGTGTCTTTCAGCGTATGCAAATTTATCATAGATAAGCAAATAAAATGCCTGTTATATGTCCTGAAATAACAGAACAATCCTTCATTTTTACTAGGACTTTCAAATTCATGAAATTTAACACCATTGAATAAAACATTAAAAAAAAAAAAACCTAGGGCCAAAAAATAGCAAAGAGGATCTTTACAGCCAGAGATAAATACAGTCTGCTGCTTGAAAAGCCCAGAAGCCCTGTGCCTATGCTGGACTGCTGCTGCCCATTGATATAAGACTCTGTCCATTTATTTCTCCCCCCACCCCAAAGTGGAATCCTTCTCAAAATATAAATATAAGAACAAATATAAATCCCACTAAGACATCAGCTCTATGGGGCAGGGGCATTTGTCTGTTTCATTCAGTGGTACATTCTTGGGTCCTGGAAAGCCTGCCCTTTAGAAACCCCTAAGAAATGCTAAGTGCATGAGAGAATAAATGGAGACGGAATGTTGATTATGCACAAGCTAACAACTTTGGTGCATGTAACAAATAAAGCCCATGGCCTGTGTTTTACCACATTCAGCTCGTTAACATGTAGGACAGTCATTAGAATTGGTGATACATGGATACAAATTAGCGTGTAGGCTGGGAATACAATTCAGTGGTAGAGCATTTGTCTAGCCCATTCCAGGGTCCCAATATTAAAACAAAAGCACACACACACACACACACACACCCTGTCTTAGTTAGGGTTTTGTTGTTGTTCTTTTGGTTTTTTTGAGACAGGGTTTCTTTGTGTTGCTTTGGAACCTGTCCTAGAACTAGCTCTTGTAGAACAGGCTGGCCTTGAGCTCACAGAGATCCACCTGCCTCTGCTTCCCAAGTGCTGAGATTAAAGGCACGTGCTGCCATGGCCCGGCTTTAGTTAGGATTTTTGTTGCTGTGAAGAGACACCATGACCTCAGCAACTCTTATAAAGAAAACATTTAATTAGGGCGACTTATTTATACCTTCAGAGGTTCAGCCTGTATCCATCATGATGGGGAGCATGGTAGCATGCAGGCAGACATAGTGCTGGCTAAGCAGCTGAGGTACCTACATCTAGAAGGCAATAGGAAGTCAGCTGACATACTGGGCAGTATCCTACGTATAGGAAACCTCAAACCTGCCACACAGTGACATACCTCTGCTACTAAGGCCATACCCATTCCAACAAAGCCACACCTTCTAATAGTGTCACTCTCTCTGAGGTTATGGGTGCCAATTACATTCAAACTAGCCACACTCCTAAACTAAAATTAGCTCAAACTCTGAGGATAGAATTATAAAATAAAAGAGAAAGATACTAAATAATTGTGGTAACACATCTTAAACTTTTGTCTCCCTTTGACTGGGTGTTGGACTCAAGCACCAAGTGGTTTTAATTAGGAGTCTAGATAGTAAACCATAAAGGTTCTTTACCAAGGTGTAGATGGAAGTTTCTGTCCTGCCCGGTCCTGCAGCCGTTCAGTCCCAAAGAAACACACAGAAACTATATCAATTACAACACTGTTTGGCCAATGGCTCAGGCGTATTCCTAGCTAGTTTTTACATCTTAAATTAACCCATTTCTATTAATCTGTGTATTGCCACAAAGATGTGGCTTACTGGTAAGGTTCTGGCGTCCTTTTCCTTCAGCAGCTACATGGCGTCTGCCTGACTCTGCCTGCCTTCTTTCTTCCTCTGTCTCTACTTGGAATTCCTGCCTTGCTCTATTCTGTCCTGCCATAGGCCAAAGCAGATTCTTTTTTTTAACCAATGGTAATGAACCATATTCATAGCATACGGAGGGGAATCCCACATCACCAAGGCTTAGCACAGAGGTGCTTGTATATAATTCCAGCATGTTGGAGGCTGAGGCAAGAACATTGGGTTTGAGACTCTGTCCATAAATAAATAACAAAGAACTAACAACCACAAATCGCTCTGATGATATTCACAAGAATACAGTACACAGGAAATACTAAAACTCAGTTTGTAAAGCTGTCTCTCAATATTCCATCTTCAGAATTATCACACAGTTCTTCCATCAGGCCAACAGAGCCATCAAAAACACGGAAACACAGAAAATGCTGACGTTGTCAGCAATCCAGTGCTTGTTATCAGCTGTGCCCTTGACTCTCAGGATTGGCGAGTGTGCACAGAGCGCCCTCCATAGGAGGAAACACCTCAGACACTAACCAGGAAGGAGGGACTTGCCAAGCGCTTCCCCCAAGGACCAATCTACAACTGATGAGTGCAGGCATCTAAGGTTGTATAGCTGCTGTATTTGGACACACTCCTGGTTTGATAATATTGACTAAAGACAGCACTTCCCTACAGAGGTGAAATCACCTCCCTATTCTCCCATATTCCAGGCACCTAGAATCCTTTGAGTCTCTTGCCCCTTCCACTGTCACTAAACCATAAGCTGTCTGAAGTCAGGAATGTGTTCACTTCATCACTCTGTGCAGCGTGAGCTTTGAAGCTAGAGAGAAAAAGATCCTATTATTGTTAAATAGACGCATTTCAGGAACAAACTGAAGGGCTATGCTGGAATGATCCCTGGAAATTTAAAATAAGGAGCGTGTGGCGCTCAGAGACCTCAGAGGGCAGGGGTGTTTGGGGAGCCTGGTTTTCTGTTCTATAACCTTGAAAAGACACATTTCATGCCAAGATCCCTTGACTGTATAATTCTAGAAACTTTGAGAGTGGGAAGCGAATCAGTGCATCAGTCCACTTTGCAAAGGCAGTTTCCTTAGCAACAGGCTGATTGACTGGCAAGCTACTGTGCTATATGAAACTTGGTTTACTGCTCAACACCCTTGGGAAAAGAAGCTCCACCTCGTGTTAAAGGGCATCACATACTTTCTCTTAAGGTCATTTGTAATTGTGAGTTTGTGTATGGGGGTGCAAGCTTGAGCATAGGCATCCACAGAGGTCAGTAGGGTCAGGTCCCCTGGAGGCAGAGTCACAGGTGATTGCAAGCCACCTGATAGGTACCTGGTGGGAATCAAACTTGGGTCTTTGGGAGCAGTAAGGATTCTAACTGCTGAACCCTCTCCAACCCACTATGGTTTTACCTCTGTGCCAACATCCCTGTCACTAGAAAATGTGCAGGAAAGAACTTAGAGCTACTCACATTCGTAAACCAAATTCATTTCAGTTTCTTGGCCAAAGAGCACCTGCTACCTGTCTTACTTTCTTGGCTCCCTTCTTTACTCTCCCCGCTGGCCAGCTTCTTTGCAGAGAAGTCTAAGAGGCTCTCGGAGACCCGCAGAAGCTGCCCCAGGGCTTTGTCTTCTTGCTCTTTGGAGAAGGACTTTAACAAGAGCTGTCTGTGAGTGGGAGAATCCCAGACCCGATGACCACTGAAGGTGGGGACTACAGTGACCTAAGACAACGTGATACAACAATGAGTTGCCTCAGAAGCCAAATCCCACTTTTGGGGCCTCCTCCTTGCCACGGACCTTC